TGGGAGCAGGTGGGGCTTTTTCGTTCGGAAGGGACTGTGGCTCTGACACACTGCCGAATACTGGTCTCTCGTGGCTAAGGCAGGTCGCTCTTCCCTCTGTGTGCAGTATCCCTCTCTGTGGCCCAAGATCTATTGCCATTTGGAATCCCAACTATGCCCCCAGTAGAACTCAGAAAATGTGGAGAAGAGAAGATGTGGGTTCAAATCCTAGTTCCCTCTCACTTGCTGTGTGACTTGGGGACCACCCTAACCTCTCCACCCTTGCTTCTTTTAGTCGCAAAAGGGGTGAAATGATGGAGAAACCAGTTCTTAGTAGCTACAAACATTCAATAAGCACCCAGGTGCAGCTGGACCCTCAGAACATAACAGGGTCTCTACATAGTATTGATTACAACTCTTGGCCCCGAAACACAGGGCAAGCATATTCATAGAGGACACCAGGCATGGAGAAAGAAAGGGCCTGAAGACAGAGGCAGGGGTCAGCCATGGGGCAGATTCTCCCTAGCCACCTCCAGAAAGCACCAATTGGGCAAACCTCACATCAGACTTCTGCCCTCCAGGCCACAAACAACACCTTTCTGTTGTTTAAGTCACGCAGCATGTAGAAGTTTGTGATGGCAGCCAAGAAAGAGCTACAGCTGTGACACCACTCTGGCCTCCACCATCAGTCCAGGAGACCACTTGACACTCTTTGGCCCTGCCCCCGGTGGTCTCTCACAAGGGGTCAGCTTGAGACCACTAGACAGCAGCCTAACAAAAGGCACTGAAGTTCACTGCCACTCATGGAACAGGGCCTAGGGGCCAGGGGATCCCAGCTCATCTGACTCACAGGCCAAGACTTCCTCTTCATCTTAGGGGACCTCTGTTCTGTCCATGCCTTGCTATCTTGCCTTCTGACTCTCACCACCATGGTCGTTGGCCATGTCTGCAGTTCTCTAGCCCTGTAGAGATTCCCAGCTCATGTGTGATGCTCTTGAGGCCTTAAAACTCCAGCCTCCATCACAGGGCTCCCTACCGTACACCAGGGGTGGCCTCAGCTTGCTGTATACAGGGTCACCCATTCTTATTATGATCACACAGTAGTCCTGGGAAGTGCACAGGTGTGTACAACTCTCACCGACACAAAGCTTCTAGCCCAGGGTAACTCCTGAGCAGTGGTGGCCGTGGTGGTAGGTCCCCCCACCTACATTCTTTGGTTCCACCTTCACCCATTCTCATGGTGCCTTGGCACTCCCATCCAGCTCCTTGTGTCCCTTTAGTGTCTCTCACTTGAGCCTGATAAGTGGGTACTGTCATTCCTCTGTTGTCAGTAAGGGACCCAAGGCTCTTCCTTCTGCCGGAAACCTGGCAGCACCTGCTGACTCCTCTGCCTTGCTGTTAGATCTCTATGAGGGTCATAGCAGACACTGAGCTGTCCCTGCCCAGGGGCTTTCTCCCTTACTACTCCCTCACCTAAGACTCCCACCAGGAAGAAGACAGAAAAAGGAGGAAAATGGGGAGAAGGAGAAGAGGAGGAGGAGAGAAGGAGGAGGAGGAGGAAGAAGAAGAAGAAGGAGAAGGAGAAGAAGAAGAAGAAGAAGAAGAAGAAGAAGAAGAAGAAGAAGAAGAAGAAGAAGAAGAAGAAGAAGAAGAAGAAGAAGAAGAAGAAGAAGAAGAAGAAGAAGAAGAAGAAGAAGAAGAAGAAGAAGAAGAAGAAGAAGCCGTCGCCTTTGCAGGTTCAAGATTCTGGTCTGGAGGAGAGCAGGGTGGGCCAGGTACCCAGATTCTAGCTACAGAGGCACCCGCCTCGCACACTGGTCTGGGTGCTCTAGGTAAAGATGGGGGAAATCTGACTATCTCCATGACGACGTGTGTATGTGACACTTGGCTGGGAGCTGAGGACAATGGGAGGAGCCTCGTTCTGTATTTTCAGGTTCCCAACCTTGACCTATACATCCTATAGGCTGGTCACACAGAAGCTAAAAGTCCCCTATAGTGCACCCATTATAGAGAAACAAGATTTAAGACAGGAGGGGCCATCTTTCCAAGATCTGCTTCCAGCATGACACCCAGGCTCATCTAGCTTCCCCAAGTGTTCTCCTAGTCCCCTTCAGCCCCTGGGGTACAGGTGAGAGGGTTAGATTCTGAAGCACTTGGAACAGTAGCCCAGAGCTCCTGAAGCGTGAAGGAGGGTGTCAGACATGGGACCTCCCCCATCCCACCTCTGGCCATCAAGGCAAGGCACCCTTCAGCCCCACTCTCCCTTCCTATTTTTCTTTCTTCCTCTGACCTTGGACTTGGCCCTCATCCTGCCTGCAGATCCTGATGCCAACTGTTTCTTTGCACACAGCCCATGGCAGTGCCCCAGCTCCCAGACAGCTGCAGGATGAGGTGGGGCAGGAAACCTGGCCACAGGTGAGGAGACTCAGGGCAGAGAGCTGCAATAGTGCAGCCAAGGTCACACAGGTGGCCAGGAAGAGTCTGAGGTGCTCTTCCTCTCAACCTGAAGGCAACACATGGGGACACTCAGGGCCACATGAGCCACTGCTGCTTCTTTGTGAGATCTGAAAGAGCCTAGCAGGGCCCTCCAAGCTCTTGACACAGGAGAGACAGAAAGCCACCCCTACAGAGAACAGCCTGCCTGTCACCTCTCAGGTTTCTGTCCTGTGGCTCTCCATCTGGGTCTGACCTCATACCTGAGGGGCTAGACAGCTGACAAGGAGGTGCCAGTAGCTCCAGCTGTGTGACCTTCGTGGCGGCTTGTTGTTTCTCATCCGAGACATGGGGACACTAGGATAGTTGCACAAAAGCAGTGTATATGGGGGGCTATGTGGATGCTAGCTGGTGTGACATTTGCTGGTGTGACATTAAGGCTGGGCGAGGGGAGCGGGGGGGGCAGGTTGTGGAGGGGTGGGTGTCTCAGACTCTGCACACTAAGTCATAGGCAGCTTTTCTGCCCTCAACTGGAGAGAACTTGGAGGCTACTGGAGGGATCCCTGGAACCCAGCTCTCAAAGGACACATACCAGTGAGCTGGCTTTCTGGTTCCATAAAGTACTGGTGGGCTCTCCAGGCTGCTGGTGGTCTGACCAATGGGCTGCGGCTGCACCCACCCCCTCCTCTGTCTCCTTTCCAACTCCAGGCAGCCTTCTCTGCAGACCATCAATCATCACAGATGGCCTTGTTCAGTCCAATCACAGTTTCCCGGGAATGTGGGCTGACCCGCCCCCTCGAACCTTCAGGAAGCTCAGGTGGCCACTCAGGATCCAGTGTCCTTCTGGCCTCACAGTCAGCCCCCGGGGGACTCTTCCTAAAGCGCATAGGGCCACCTTTGCATCTTAAAGCTGAGAGGATGACCCAGCGTCTGCAGAGGTGCAGCAGCTATGGCCACTGCTGTCTTACATGTGTCACTGGCATTCACCTGTGGGCACATTCCAGGATGCTGGGTGGACAGGCACGCTGGTGTTGTGCATCTGTCACCTGCACTCCTGGGGCAGCCCTCGCACGGGTGTATAATATATTACTGTAGCTGCTGCAGGCTCGTGTTTGCGCAAGGACCGCATGCGTGTGGGGGCTGGCTACACTGGCTGGGTGCAGCATGGGGGTCCTAGGAAGCCAGGGATACATGCTGTGTGTACAGGGGCTATGGTGCATCCGTTAGTACAGGCATTGTGTATACACACGTATGAGCTAAACATGTACGATGCACTACTTGTGGGTTCTAAATTGGCCCACGTACACTGGAGTGAATCTGTGCAAGTGGACTGGGTTGAGAAGGTGGCTAAACGGGAGGCCATCAGCATCCTCCCCTAGTTGCCTTCCCACTGCGGACTCCCCAGACCGCAGCTCCTCCTTGCCACTGCTCCTTCAAGGAAGTTACCAGGCGGAAGCCCCAAGCTCAGAGGCCTGCGCTCTAAGCCCCCTCCTACTGCACACGTCAAAAGAGAATTTCTCGGGATGGCAACCGCCGCTCTGGGAAATGCCCCAAACGTCAGCTCTGCCTCCTCCTAGTGATGTGGAGAGCCGTGCCCAGTGGAGGGGAGCCCTTTCCACACTGCCAGGACTCAGAGTCACAATGAGACCCTCCACTGCTGCTGCTGGCCTACTCACTTACCCTTCTGAAGGTCGAGTCAGGCTCAGCCTCTAAGGGGGGCTCCCCTAATGGGGGTTGGCCACCTGCAGGGTCCCCTCACCAATCAGTATGTGGGGTAAAGCCCATCTACTTGGCTTTTAAGTCAGCACCTGCCCACCCTAGAAAGTCCAGATCCTTCGGGGAGGCAGGGAGGAGCCCCAGGTGTTTCAGTGCTCAGAGGGACCACCTAGGCTAGCAGGCTAGTGAGGTGTTAGCCTTCCGGGCTCAAAGTGCCAACTCCACCATCCACCTAGCATGACTGCTGCAAAATGGTCTGCCCACCCACTCCTGCCCCTGCCTGCCATCGAGGGGACTTGGGACACATCCCTGCCACCACATGCCCAGCTCTCCTCATCAAGTGGATCCCTGTACACAGAAGCCCACCATCAAAGGGACCCTCCATAAGGGCCTCCCCTTGTCTCTTTCCTGGGACACCTTCCAGTACTCTGTGTCTTCCAGGGACCAGGATCAAGAGGAGACTGGTTGGTGTTCCTGCTGACCGGCTGCCACCACTAGCCCTTGCATAACATCCTGGGGGCATGTACCGGCTGGAGGCCGCCAGCATCCACCTGAGACCCTGAATCCCCTTTGCGGGGCTCCCTGCTCCTGTCTCCAGCCCCCACCCAGCCTCTCACCCAGGACTGTCCCTCAGCCCGGGAACCCAAGCATCCCCAGCTGCCTCCAGATAAACAAGCCAAGCTCCCACCACCCCCCTCCTCCCGCCGCCACCATCAGCACTAGAGGGAAAAAAAAACAAAAAACAAAAAACGGCAAATGCAATCAAATCAAATCAAATCAAATAGGTGAGGGAGAAAGGGGAGAGCGGGGTCGGGCGCTTTTATTTTTTATTTTCTCATGCTTGGGTAAGGGGAGAGAAGCCGGTTACTTACTTGGCTAAGGCAATCGCCAGCGATCGGCTCGGGTTCCAGGCGGGCAGCCCGTAATCGCGGTGCGGCAGCTGGCGCCGAGCGGAGCCCAGCCCGCGCGCCCGGTCCCAGCACAGACTGTACCATTGTGCCTGAGGCTGGGGGGGCGCGGCCGCCGGGGGAGGGGCGCGAGCGCGGACCGAACCAACCACCCCGCGCCCGAGAGTGCAGCGCTGGGCATCCCTCCCATGGGACGAATCGGCGGCCGCCCGCAGAGTCCCGAGGAAAGGCCCACTCCCCTCGCGCAAGAGGCCGTGTCAAGGGCACGCGGAGGGGAGGGTCAGAGAACAGCCCCGGACGAGCAGGGGGTGGTGAGAGCAAAGAAGGACGCACTGCTCATACGCCTTCCCCAAGTCACTTCCTACTTTGTTAGATAGGGTGGGAGTTCCAGCTTCCCCAGATACTGACGGAATGCCTCTATACCTGGGAGCAAAGACTGCACAAAGAGACATACCTAAATGCGCCTATGGTGACAGGGTCTGTGGAGCAGATCCCCGGCCAGCTGCCTACTGTTACCTACACCCCTCTGAAGCCCCATACCCTGCCTGGGTGTACCCACCTGCCCCAGGGTGGGGATGGGCCTCACCGGGAGAAGCCTTGAAGAGATCGTTTCTCTGCTGGAGTGTTAGCACATTCCCACTATCTGCCGGGGTATCTATGCTGAGTTGGGGGTGCTCGCACTGGAGGCTAACCATGTATAGGGACTCCAAAGTGATTCCATTTGGAGTCTGCAGGAATGGACTCCCCCATCCAGCTTCTTACTTCCTTCTGCTTCATCTCCTCACAGGGCAGACCTGTGGACTCTTAATTCCAGCCAGAACCTGGACTGTAATTCCAGGGACCAGGGCTCTAGCAGCCAATGAGGGGGTCTCTTCACTGTCTCCACTGGCTGAGGTCCCCTTCCCCTGCATGGTCATGCCTCTGCACACCCCAGGAGTAGCATCCTGCTTGGAAGAGGACATGCCTATAGAAGGACCTTCAAGGCACCTATCAGCTTGAGTGGGTGCAGGAGGGCCAGGACAAGGCAGGGGTGCCCCTAGAGCCAGTTCCAGACAAAAGCTGCCTCCTTCCCCACCCCTACTTCTGCCCACCTAGGAGCCGCCTGCCTTTCTGAGCGTCCTGTTGCTGCTCCGTCCCTGGCTGGCACGGAATATCAATTTGTCTCGTTAAGCTGAAAGTCTGCACTGCACCAAAATCAGAACCCGCCACCACGCAGAGGGGCTGAGGAAGGAGAGAGCCAGAGCAGAGCCCAAGGCAGGGCCCCAGAGCAAGGTCACACCACCATCACCAACACTGTTCTTCAACCCCCCCAGGCTGATCACAGGATCCCATCTACCCTGGCCAAACAGAGGTCTGCGTGTGTGAGTGTGCACAGAGGTGGGGGTGCCAGATGCTAAGGATGCCCAGGCCTGGGGATTGTCTATGCAACAAGAGTGTGACTAAGGAATGGCCGCTTCCTGGGGTTTGTGCTGGACAGCCTTGGGCCCCATCAGAGGGTCTCTTGCCTCATGTTAGTAGCCCAGGCCTGGGGCCCCTCAAAACACCCTCATCTCCACTTCTCTTTAACCCCACCCTTCCTGGGAGCATTCTACTGGTCATACCTTGGCTAAACTCCCAACTTAGCATCCCCACTCCAGGACCAAGGGCCAGGCTGGGAGGCTAGAGGCTACCCTGCCCCCATCACGGCCTAGAGAAGCTGTTGGGCCTTGGCTCAGGGAGGTAGGCCCAGAGGGCAGCAGGTGAGGAGAAGCCTCTGCCAGCTTCCTGTGTGTGCAGGAGTAGGGTGTCATGCCAAGCCACTTTCCCTGGTGGGTGAACAGAGAACCCTGGGGCGGGAGGGGGTGGGAGACACCCATTTCCCCACCATGTCCCTTCCTGTGTCAGGAACAGAGCCACCTGCAGATCAGGAAAGCATGGGTCCTTGCACCCTGGGGGCTACTATGAACACTTAGAGGAGACGGCTGGGCGTGGCTGTCAGGGCAAAGCTACACAAGTGTCTGAATAAACTGCTCCTGTGACCGAGAACCTTAGGCCCAAGCCCAGGCTTCATACAGGTAATAGATAGTGGGGTGCCTGGCCCCAGTATTCACCTACTTTGAAGGACTAAGTCCAGCCTGCTCAGTGACCCCCATGGAGACATGTTGGCTTCATTCACAGATACCAAATATTTCAACTCTCACTCACAGATTTTTGCTTCTTAGAGTTCAAGACCAGCAGCCAACAGAAATGAACCCAAATAGCCAGGTCCCATGTCCTTCCATTCCTGAGTCTACATCTTAGTGGCTCCTAGGCCCATGAACTTCTGCTCATCCTGCAAAGCCATATTCATCTTCCCCTCTGCCAGACAATCCTATGTACTCCACATATTCAGCTTATCTCAAGTCTCATCTTTGACCATGCTGTAGCAGTCTGCAGATCTGTGCCTCTCATTGGGCTATGTCTGCATCAGATGGGTCCCAAGGGCCCTATATGCTAGGTGCCAGCATGTTATGGATGCAATAAAGGCCTGACTGAATCACTGCTGTGTGATTTTGATCCACCAAGTACCAGACCCAGCAAGACCTCTGGGAACCAGACCTCTAACGGTACGTGACATGGGCTGAGGCTTCAAGGGAAAAGCTAAATGCTTTGCCTAACGATGTCTTTGAGGGTGGGAGGTGGCTACAGACATCTGCCTGCCCAAGCCTTGGACCTTGGCCCACCTCTCCTGGCTGTGGCTACTTCTAGGTCACTGTGCTGCCCTTCCAGGATGTGTTAGGGGCAGGGGGTCTGGGGAAGATGGGGCATTGGGCAATCAGATGAACAAGGCATTTATGTTGCAACCCTGGGGAGGTTGGACGTGACAGATCAGGGTCACCCGCAGGGAATAGGGCACATAGGCAGGTGGCCAGCTGGGAGTGTCACCAACAGCTTTTCATCTAGCCTGAGTTGGCTCATGGTGGACCTGGTCTGAGAGTCATGGACAGGGCAGGGGTGAGGAGTAAGAAGGGCAGGAAAACAGCGGATGACCCTGGGTTTGGTTAGCTACACTGGAGAGGGACCCAGGGCCAGGGCAAGGGCTGAATGGAGAGAGATACTTTGCCAAGATTAGTCTGCTGGAGTCAGAAGCCAGTGGCCTCCTGTTCCGTTGAGGCACATGGTCACTGTCACCAAGAGCATCTGTCTGTATCGTAGGAGAGAAGTTCCTTTCCAAGCCCCTTCTGTGACTGTCTCTGACCTCTACAACTATGTGTGGGTCCCTTCCCATTTTACAGAAGAGAAAATGGAGCCCTGGGGAGCTGGGGACCCAGTAAGAAGTGCAGGCAGAAGGCAGAGCCAAGGCAGAACCCATATGTATCCCCCTGGGGTCCTAGGCCTTGCCCTCTCATCATACAGAGGCCTCTTAAGTCTGAGGCAACAGCTAGGGACTCTGCAGGCCTCTGAGTGGATCAGAGTGTGGATCCGAGAGGGCACATGGCCCGGCTCTTCCAAGACTCCTCAGGGCCCCAGAGCCCACACCTATGTTATGCTCACACCACTGGCCCCAAACCCTGCAGCCAGCTGGCTCTGGTGCTGAGCTTCATGTCCTCCAGACCTGAGTTTCAAAACTAGCTCACTCCTTTGTCTTTGAGGTAACCTTGGGCAAGCGACTTAACCTTTCTAGGTCTCAGCTGGCTTATTGCTAGTGTAGCACCAGCTACAGGGCACTGGTGTCAGTCAAGGGGAGAATGGCAGGCATTAGTAACAGACCGAACACAGGACTTGGTAGTCTCTGAAAAACATTCCATGAAAATGTGACATGCCCGGTCTCTCCCATCCCCCTTTCCTGGCAGAGGGCATTCTTAGATACCTCTGCAGGAGTGAAGCTGGGTTTCCACCTGAGGCCCCAGCTCCTGGCTTTTGCTTCTAGATCCCTCCATGGGTGGGTGTGGGTCTGGCTGCTGGTGATCTGCACACATGTTCAGTGACTGCCACATGTGACTACTGTCTATTCACTATTAGGCCTTCGGTACAACACCTTTGTGAAACCCTGGGAGTTGGACCCTGGGAGTTGGGCCCTCCCTGTAGTTCTGATTTACAGATAAGGAAACTGAGGCAGAGTGGGCTAGATCAGTGAGTCAAAATCACAGAGACTTGGGACACCAGGACCCAAAAAGTACTGCCCAGGCAAGCCCAGCCCAGGGACCTCACCAAGGTGGGTATGGGAAGGGAGCTGGGATTTCCTTCTGGTCACAGGGCAGAAGCCGTCAGCTTTGCCTCCCATGCCGCTGGTAGCAGCTGCGTACCTGTGACCCGCCTGACCTCTGAGAGGGAAATCCCAGACCTTCCAGACTTGGAGCTCACAAAGAATGGAGCCAAGGTCACAGGAGCGGGCACTGCAGAACTGGGAATGGAGGACCCCGGGGACTGCACGGATGGAGCATCTCCAGTCAGAAACAATCTCCCTCACGCTCCCCTCAGACTGGCACCACCTTGCCAGTGTGCAGAACCACTTCCCCATCGTCCATCCTGCCTTATGACCTTGATGACCTTGGTCTCTGCCTGTTCTGAAAAGTCTACCTGCAGCCCTGCTCCGACACTTGCATTACTCCCTGACTCCACACCCTGCCTCTGTGCTCCCCAAACTCATCCTTCCCACCCTCTGCCTGCAGAACTCCTACTCATCCTTCAAGAGTCCTCTCCAGCAGTCCTTCCTTCCTGGATTCCCCTTCTCCATCAGCTGATCTTCCTATGCTCTTGTGTTCATTATGCTGATGTACTCCTGGGGACAGGAACCTGGGTCTCTTTTGCCCATGGCATTCCTGGCAATGGACACAAAGCCTCAACATATATTGATTGAATCAATGTGCACAAGTTTGTCAAATGAAAACGCAATCCCTGGAACAGGTCTGATGTTTGCCTTTCTTGGTGGCTCTGGGAATGTTCTTTGGACTGGGGCTTCGAGTGTAGGAAACTTGCCAATGAGTGAGTGGGGTTCCCTCAGCATGTCAGGTTTGGAAGGGATAAAGAGAAACCCCCTGTCTAGAGAGATGCCTTAACTGGTACAGGAAGCTGGAGCTCTTCTTGTTCCTAAAAGTCCCATCAGCCACACGCCACAGATTACACAGTCATTTCTTTGGGTGGTTCAGT